ATTATTCTGAGAGGATTTTATTGAATAATTGGCAAGCACACCAATATTATCAATCATAGTATAGTATTTCGATTAAATAAAAGTTTATCCCACGAGGAACAGTTTCAATAGAAATTCCAAATCATATGCTTACTAAGTATATTGAAACAAAATTGGGTTTTTATAAAGATTTGGATTGAAATTAAATGGTAAAGAACGATAAACAATATTTAGAAAAGATCAAATTAAAGAACTTAGGATTGACTTCCTTCTTTTTCCCTTTTTTGCATAATGGCTAGGTCAAATTAAGAACATCAATTAACCTAACAATGTTGATGTCACCTACTCAAATCATTCACTTTGATTCCTCGCATGTGAAATTCATAAGAAAACTTGATAAATGTTGATTCCTCACATAGTTAAAAGATTTTCCAGCATTAGGTTTAGGGTGTTAAGCACTTGATACATTCATTCCATTCCTAGCAATTAACGTAGCAAATATTCTTACCTGATCTAGGGTTTCAAGATATATTTTTCAATCATATCCCAAACATCAAGAATAAATCATTCCAAAGCACAAAAGATAAGAATAACAACATCACAACATAGATTAATATCTCAAAATATCACCATGATACAAAAGAGTTCCAAGGAAGTTCACTCAATCCTAAGAGAATAAAGTTAGTCACTCATGGTGGCCATTACAATGCTCTAAATGAGGAAGAATTGAAGAATCCTTGAAGAACAGAACAACAATCGCGCCTCTTCTCCAAAAACCTAAAATTAAATCTCAAAATGCGTCTTATCTTTTTATAGAAAAATTTGGGTCGGGCCTCGCATCATTTATTTCGCTCAAGCATTCTTCTTTCTTTCAATTTTTCTTCAATTACTTCACAATTATGATATTTTCTCTTGTATCCAGGTATTATGTAAATCCATCCTACATTGGGAGAAAAATATATTAGAATCACTAGAATTTAAGTGGTTATATCACAATTAAGAGAATAATTACATCAACTTTTACCACTTAACAGCTTTAGTTCCATTCATGGTATACACTCTTCCTGTTGTCGGAGGTCTTATTTTTGGTGCAGAAGGATTAGAATTTGATTTTTGTTGTCGACATTAAGAAAATATATGACCAGGTTTTCAACACTTGAAACAGGCAAGTCTTTTAAGATGACAATCTTTAGCATAATGATCTTGTCCACACTTAAAACACTTTGACTGATTATTTATATTGTTATTAAAATTTCCTGCAGAAAGTTGACTAGGTTGGAATCTCCATTGGGGGCAGTTGTAGGGTTTTCTTTCATTTTGTCTCCTTTTATTTTGTTGGGATCCAAAGTAGTTTGGTTTACCATTTTGATGATTTTCAAAATCTTCCAAAAATCTACACTTATGAATAAGCATAGAAAAATCAAGAATTTTTAATATTCCTACTGCTTTTCTCAATTCAGGCCTAAGTCCATTCTCAAATTTTATACACTTCATTCTTTCATCAGGGTGATAAAAGAATGCAGAGTATTTTCCTAACTCTTCAAACTTAGAGGCATATTCTCCTACTGTCATATCTTCTTGCTTTAATTGCACAAATTCTATTTCTTTTGCCCTCCTCACATTATTGGGAAAATATTTAAAAAAATTTATTCTAAACACCTCCCAAGTAACGATTATTCTTCCTCCTTCTAGTAATCTCTTGGTACTATCCCACCAATATTCAGCCTCTCCTATCAACATAAACACAACATAATTCACCTTTTGGTCATCAGGACAATTCATAACTTGAAATATTTTTTCCAATTCTTTAATCCATAATTCATCCTTTTTGGGGTTATAACCTCTAGAAAATTGCGGAGGTTTGTTTCTCCTAAATTCAACTAAACCTTGTGATCCATTGGTTCCTTAATAATGCAGCGGTCATGTCTCGGATAGCTTGTACCGCTTCTATCAACTCATTGTTCCTCCTATTATTTGTCATCTGAAATTATATAAGTTAGGATTCATAAGATCTCATGATAGGCTTATTTCACAGGTCACACATGACACGTTGCTCTGGTACCATCTAATGTGACGTCCTTTTTTTCACGTTGTTAACCATTTTTTAAGAGATTACTACTTTCTATTAAGTCTTGACAAAAGTAGGATATGAGATAAATGTTTATACATTCATATGTGTAAAGATGTGAGCTTTACAAGTTTACATTATTTTTATATCAGAAACAATTATTACAATTAACACAAATTTTCTTCTAACAGTGGTTGAATGATACATGTCTTCCATCTTGATGCGTCCATCTATTTATATTGATATTTTAGTTGTAATATGCACAAGAAATAACAATAAGGAAATGAGAACAATTATCATTTAAAATAATATCATCTTATAATGATATATAAAATATATTTTTCAACTTGCTCAATTTATTTCATTTATTATATTTATGAAGATTTAAATTAAATTTGTAGTGACTAGTCGGGATAAATGAGTCCAATTTTAATCACTCTCTCATTCATATTTACTCATTTCAATCCCCAAGGTTCAATCTTCATCTACAATATCATCAAATTTTCATAAATAAATATTGTTATTTTAAAAAAATTAAATAATATAAATATAAATTAATAAATAGGACCAGTGCATAATTAGAGATAAAATAAACAAATAGGAGTAGTACGCAACTTAACATAAATAAATAAATATTAGACTTGATCCAAGAAAGACTAAAATAAAATTATGTATCGATTCAAACAAATTCATTCTATGTAAAATAAGAGATAAATATAAATTTCATGACCATGATAAGAAAAAAATATCGGAGGAAAACAAGAAAACCTGAAAACTAATAAAAATAGGAATTATGACTTAATTTCTAATCCGATCATAATGAGGAACTGTTGAAAAAGTTAAAGACGGGAAGAGGAAAAATCTGCCAGCACATTGCCATGCCTATATATGTGTGTGGCTAAATTACCACACGGCTTTATCATTAGTGCCGTTGAGTTAACAACACTGATGATAGACACATTGCATATTTTCTTAACAAATAAAAAGAAGAATAAACACATTTTCTTAACAAATTTAACGTGAAATAAATTGGAAAAACGAATGAATTTTAAAGAAAAACAGAGGATGTGAAGAGATAATAACAATTAAAAGAAAGTGATGAACTTTAAGTGAAAACAAGAAAATAGAAGAAGCGGGTGAGGAGAGAAAAAAAAAAGTACTCGATTTTATTTATTATAAAATGTTGAGTATACTCTTACTCTTGTTACACTTTTTTTTTCTTTTGCTTTTGTAGTATTATTTAGCTGTATACAAATGTTAATTTTGAAAATACGTAATCGTGATAAAGTCTATATATATATATATATATATATATATATATATATATATATATATATATATATATATATATATATATATATATATATATATATATATATATATATATATATATATATATATATAGTCTTCGTATTGGCGTCATTACCTTAATCATGTGTTAGATATTTCAGAAGTGTTTTATAACTATTTTAAGGAGTTTTATTTCTTAGTTGATTTTTATATTTCCATGAAACGATAAATCTATTAATTTGTCTTCATTCTTCAAAGCTTGTAAATATTTTCACTTATATTCTCCAGCTATTACCATAACACATATATTAAAAAATAAGAATAATAATAAATGTTGGGTTTATTGGATATATAATTTTAAAAATAAAACATTATTGTATTAAATATTATTTATTATATATGAATCAATGTCATGTTAACTTTTAATAGTTATATCGTACATGCAAGTGGATCGGTTAATCCGATTTATGGTCAAACCCTACTAGTTTGATTCAGTCAAATAAATGCATGTTTTAAAACATTTACGCTTCCATGTCTGGCTTCAATTGATTGATGTGGGCGATAATACTAAATTTTCTTCCTTCTGACTCGATCCAATACCTTTGACTTTGACAATTTCAAGAAAATTACTATCTTTGTTCAAATCACTCCACAGTCATCTATTTCGCCCCATAGGTTTTGATTATTTTCCTTACTACTAAATTTTTAGTACATGTAGGATGAATGTTTGTTTTAAATTATTAAAATTTATGATAAATAAGTATTATAAATATATAACTTATATTATAATCAAAGCTTATAATGAATCAATATTTTGAATATTTAAATTGTATTTTAGATTTATAATAACTAATTTATATCGTGATATACAAGGATATTTTTTAATTGTTGATAATTTTTTAATAAAATATTGAAATTCATATTAGAGCTAAAGATATTAAAAATAAATAATTAAAAGGGATAAAGAGCTAAGAAACTCATCAAGGCTGTTTCCGTTCAACGTTCAACGAAAAACAATTAAAACTTAATCGTTGAAGAATAACTATTAAAAAATACTTTCCTTCAAGATAATTGCGATATTTACTTAAGACATTAAAATAATACAAATAAATTATATGGTATTGGACTAAAATTATCCAGATCTTTAAATACTCTTCTACAAATTTCGATGAATTAATTTTGTGTAATAATATATAAAATATCATACTCAATATTTAAGAATTTCTCGTACATACTTTCAGAGACTTTCAGTTTTTTTTTTTTTTTTTTTAAAAAAGAGCATATTAAGAATATGATAAAATATGCCAAACATATAACTTTAGATATGTAATTAATGGTATTTAAAAACATTTGAAGTTATAATTAAAAAGATGAATAAATTGTATTAATTTCAGTTTTCTTTTCTCAAACCTTTTTTTCCGGTTTATCTTTTTAATAGACTCATTTAGCTTTGAATATTATAAAAATCTATAAAATGTTGTTGACCATGTGCGTTGTGTATCAATTTCTACGTACCAATAAAGTTTTATATCTCCTTAAGAAAACTCAAAGAAATTTCATTATTGTCTATAAAATCTCCCACTCCTCTCGTCTCTTCCACAGGCTTTTGTTATTCATTCTACAGAGTGTAGTGTAGTCTGTGTTGTTAGTGAGTTGAGTTTCCATGGATTGGGCACATGTTATAGCCTCTCCTAACTGTTCAGTCATAAATGGTAACCATGTTTATTATGTCCTAATTTGGTCCATTTTCAAGTGTAATATTATGTGGTGACTAATATGAGGAACCATAATTGTAGGAGCAAATCTCTGGACCAGGAAACCCTCCACCAAGAGTATTTACTATGCAAGTATGTCTCACTTATCCCCTATTCCTTTCATTAACCTTTATTATAGTTATTTTCTTAACTTTTTTAGTATCTCAATTTTTCACATCTCTTGTTCCTTTATTAGGTGAAATGTATTAAGAGAAAGAAGAAACTTTTATCATCTTGATTATATATTTTATTTACTTCAAAAATAAAAGACAGAGACTTATTTTTTATCTTTATTATTCATTTTTTTATCCAAAGATTAAAATTATTCACTATTTTAGATTATTAGATTGAAAGTAATAATAATAATAATAATAATAATAATAATAATAATAATAATAATAATAATAATAATAAAATCTCAAACTGTCCAAAACAATATACCCTCTCTCTTTTTATTATTATTATTATTATTATTATTATTATTATTATTATTATTATTATATATATATATATATATTATATAAAAGTTGTTTAATTGGTAATAAAAAACAAATTATAATGATTATATAATTGTATATTTAATTTATTTATTAAAGTATAATTTTATAAACAATGATAATTAAAAGAAATGATTATACAAATATTTAGCTAAATATAAATTGATTCTTAGTTAAGGATAAAAAAGAAAAATACACATGATCGAAACATTGAACTTTACAATAGTCTTTAATTGGATTCTTAATTTACAGGACTTATCCACTATAAAAATTAATAAATACGGATGTTTTTATGGAGACATAAACATCAAAATGAAGAAATACAGAATTACTTTAAAATTTATGTGATATTTAAAGAACTTAATTAAAATAAAAATAAAGTGTGACAGTATTATTTATTATACTTGAAAAATGTTTTATATGAAAACATACATAATAATATTTTTTGTGATCTCCTGTCTTCACAAATTATCTCCTAAAGTATCTCTTAATTTAGGATGATTTGAGTTAGGGCATTGCAGTAAATTATTTGTGTGCTTTATTTTTGTTTTATTTTCTTCTCGACTGTATGAACTTTTTGTTTAGTATGCTTTGTTTAATTTCCAGTTAAATCCAATTTTGTGTTTCTAAGTGTTACCTTTAATGTCATTTGGATAGAATAACAGTTTTCTAACACAAACTTTGTGTAAGTGGAATCATTTTCTTCATTTTAAGAAAATCTTTTGAAAATCAGTTAAAATTAATTTTACTTTATTTTTCTATAAATCTTCAAAAGAAATTTACTTTCTAAAACATTCAAATATATATATATATATATATATATATATATATATATATATATATATATATATATGAAAAGAAAAAGCAATTTTAAAAATTTAAAGTTGAAGTTGACTAGATAATAATATATTATTTTCGCCTCGTGACTTGATTTTTCAAACATCTAACCATATATAGAAATAGAAGTAATAATTGATGCTAAAAATAATTTTTCCAAAAGAAAAATGCATTCATTATTTTTTGTTAATGATTTTTTTTTAAATTGTTAAAGGCATTGGGTAAGTTTTTTCATAAACACTAGGAGAAGAAAAAAAAGATGAAATAATACACTTTTTAATTTTTGCATGAGTTAAAAAATAATTTTTTAGAGAAATAAATTTTATAAATCACATTATAATAATTTTAATTTATGAAAAAAAATCATTTCTTTCTTTTTATTTTCCTCATTTGGATTATAGAGAAATTTACTCGAACAAATCTAAAGTTTTTAAATAAATTAAATATTTTTTTCTAAAATATATTATAAATTACCAATATTAATATGTAAAATTTGACTCTCTTTTAAAACTATAAATTGTGACATTGATGGGGTTCTTTTAATGTTTTCTCCAAAATAAAATATAAATTTTGGTCACTTCTCTTATTTCAATTTTCAAATTCATTATTATTTCCCAATTCATCATCATGTCATGATTTAGTTGCAATAATTTTAAAACACTAATACAACTTCCGACATTCGGTGCTTTAGGTTCTTGTAGATCAAAAGCTTCTCAGCACAAAACAAAAGCTCAAATAGAATATAATCCTCTGAGGTCTCAACAATCACATTTGAATCATCATTATATTGAAAGAGGACCCACATATCAAGAAAACAATAAAAACCATGTGGTGAACGCCGTCCCTGTCCCATCTTTTGAGTCAGAATCTCACGCTTCCAGTTCCAAAAACATTGTGGACTCTGTCAAAAATTTCCTGGGCATTTTATACCAATTTATCTACCCTTACGCCATGTATAGTCGAGTAAGTACAAACTTTTCTAATATTACACTCATAATTAATATTCAACATTCATGGTTATTACTGAATTTTGTTGTATTAAATGCTTCTTTTGATAATTGTTATACCCTTGTTGCTTTCAATGAGTTAATTTTATTTGTTTTTCAGTCAATCGCTGCAATTTCCGCATCTCTCATTGCAGTAGAAAAACTATCAGATATATCTCCATTGTTTTTTATTGGTTTATTACAGGTGAGACTCCAAATATGTTGTTCTTTTTAAATAGACAATTACGAAATAATTACCCTTTAACCTCACTAATACATTTTGAGTTTTTTTAAACGTTTCAGGCTTTGTTACCTCCCATGTTTATGGATCTTTATGTTAATGGCGTGAATCAAGTGTTTGACTATGAAATAGATAAGGTATATGAAACTACTAATAGAAATAAGAAAAAATTGGATCAATGATGCATTACTTTTTAATTGTTTACTTTGGACTTTCGTATTATTCCATTAATTAAAAAAAATATGATAGAAACATAGTTGTTGCATGATTGATCTAAAGTTATAGTTTTTGGTTCAATTTATTAATGTACTTCAACTAAAAAAGGTGAGAATATTAAACAAGTCCGTTGTATAAAAAGGTCCCTTTATAATTTGGAATCCTTTGATTGGATGGTGAAAACATGCAATCTTTTATAGTTTACAAACCCTTTGGAGACTGTACATTATTTGGCTTATAACTAATCTATATTATTATATGTTTTATTTCAGATAAACAAACCCTATCTTCCATTGGCATCTGGGAAATTATCCTTGAGAAGTTGTGCCTTTATTGTTGCCTCATCTGCAATTATGGTGCCAAATATTCATCCCTTTCTAGAATAATATTTTTTAAGATGGGGTTCTATGACAAGGAGACTTATGTTTTATTCTCTTGTGCAGTGTTTTTGGCTTAACTTGATGATAGGTTCTTCGGCCTTGATTTGGAATTTTGCTATGTGCTTTACGTTATGGACTGGCTATTCTGTAAAGGTATGTTTTTTCAATTGCATTTGAACTTCTTTTTCTCTTTACAATGTTTCAAGGATTAATGAAAGGTTACGAAGGGAAAACATGGTTGGAGTTGTTGTCATAAGTATTTTTCTTTTTTTTTTCTTTAAAAAGAAAAAAGAAAACAAAAGGAAGCCATACTTTTTTAAAATTTAAATATGGTTTTTTATCCTTGTTAAATTATTAGATTTTTCTGCTGATTTCTAATATTTTTTCTTTATTTTTTAATTTTTTAAAAACTAAAAAAAAAACAATTTGAATAGTATTTTGAACAATAATATAAAGTGTTTTAAATAGCGTTATTATAGGGAAAAAAATGAATTAAAAGTTATCAGAAACAAAATATTTTAAGAAAATTACTATGAACTAAAATTAGATAATTTAGATAAAAAAAATAATTTAACTATGTTTTTCTAATTATGTGGTTGCTTACCACTATCGACTAGATTGTTAATAAGATATCATATCGCACACGTTGGCAAACAGATAGGCACTGAGGTCAGCCAAAATTTTATTTTATATAAAAAAATAATGACATTAAGTTTCTGCATTTTAATTATATTATTGGTGAAATATTTTGTTTAATAAATAATAGAGGTTCACAATTTAATTATTCACTATAAAGTTTCTCCAGCTTATCCAAAAACAAAATGATAATTATTGAGAACGGACATTTTTCAAAAATAAAAAATAAAATAAAATCCTTTTTCACGGAATATAAGATATTTTATGTTAAATCGTAAAGTTCTTTAAAAAACACATTTACTATTTGAAATTCATTATTCAAATACCAATTAAGCTAATAAATGAACATATATGATTTTTTTTCTAATTAACACACTAATAAACAAATTATTTGTTTGTAATAACTCTATGTTGAAACTTTTCAGTTGCCTCTTTTACGATGGAAGAGATTTCCGGTGGCCGCAGCAATACTCATGTTTGTTAGTTGGACATTTATATTTCCAATAACATATTTCCTTCACATGCAGGTTCTGTGCTCTAACTAATCATGTTATTTATTTATTTATTTAATCCATAGTTTTGAATAAGCATGTATTGTAAAATGTTTTTTTAAATAAATATTATCTAATTTACAATAAGTACAATGTGATATATATACATCAAATAATAATTATAATCATAGTGTTTGTTATAAATAAGTAATTGTCACTGTTCAGGATAATTGAAAATCTTATCTCATAATTATCTATAGAAATTAATATAATAATTATGGTAACCGAAGATTTTATCAGTAATTGTTATAGTAGCTTTGTTGTCACAAAACATCATTATTATCATTTCATAGTTTGAGTTATAACAAAGTTTTCAATCCAGAAAAGTTCACCAAGACCCTTATCATCAACAAACTTATCACAAAGACCCTTATCACTTGTCATCACTCTTTTCATGTTATTATTATTATAGAAAGAAAAATGAAATAAATTCGTATATTATTTTATTGATAATTCATGTAACAAATGTTCAGACGTTTGTATTCAAGAGGCCAACAGTCTTTCCAAGATCATTGATTGTTTCTATGGTATTCATGAGTTTCTACTCTCTTGGTTTAGCATTATCCAAGGTAAAATGTCCTTATTTTCTCGGAATATAAATTTATTTTCCAACATCAAGTTTTTGTCCAAAATAATGTAAAGCCTTATATTGGTTTTATGTAGGATATACCTGACATAGAAGGAGATCAAAAATTTGGTATTGATTCTTTCTCTGCACGGTTAGGCCCGAAAAAGGTATGTTTATGAAATTCAATATCTTAGGAAATTTGGTTGTCCTTATTCTATAACACTTGATTGACTCTAAATAATCTTGGATAGGTATTTTGGATCTGTGTTGGCCTTTATGAAATGGCATTTGGAGTTGCCATTTTGGCAGGAGCATCATCTTCGTCTCCATTTTGGATTAAAATTGTTACGGTAATATCTTCTTGTTTGTTTAGGTTCGAATTTTAGGCGTGTAGAACTTATTTGGGCTTCATTTTCATAAACAAATGTTTTATAATTTGTGTTTATTTTTTAAAATAAGACATTTTTTAAGAAATTAAACATTTTGTTATTTTTTAATATGATTGTCCAATCTATTTTATTTTTAAAATATAGTTTTTTTTTAATATTTTAAGAAGCAAATCCTATTCACTTCTTAAATAGCTATTTTTTCTAAAATTATTATTTCAAAAATAATCATTTTAAGTTTAAAAAAAATGGTTCAATGGTTGTCTTAAGTAATGTAAATATACTTTTCTCTTAGATTGATTTTTAAATTATGATGAATTATTTCTTTACTAATTACTGGATTAGAGTTCAATTATTAATATAATAAAAAATAGTTTATTTTAATCTTTTTTAACAATTTTTCACATTAATATTAATAAAATTTTATTCTTATCATTTGTACAATCTTTAAACTTCTAAGTCTATCTATATTTAAATAAAGATTTTCCATGAAAAGTTGTCTTCATTGCTTAGATTATTCCAACTTTTCAACGTCGATGTGAAGGGTAAAAACTATTTTTAAATCGGTATTTTTTAGGAAAAGCATAGGTATATATTGTTTTTTACATATCATTGTAATAGGTGAATATAAACTTATTTAAACTTTTGAACAATATTTAAAATTTAATCTGTTTGTTGTATGTTTTAGGGTGTAGGAAATTTGGTTCTTGCTTTGACTCTCTGGTATCAGACCAAATATGTAGATGTGACAAACCCAGCTTCCGCAAGATCCTTCTATTCATTGAACTGGAAGGTAATTGTCTTCAAGATTCACTAGTTCAATATAGATTATCATTTAAACAAACAATTACCTAAATACACTTTTCCAATTGTTTTCATAAATAAGGTTATTTGATTTCTATTCACTTCCACTTCAAATTAATTACGAACACTGGTGTAGATTTTGTAAATGACTAGAGTTATATTTTGTGAACATGAATTTTATATAGCTAAAATGATGGAATCAATCATGAATTAATATAATTTCATCTTTTAGTTAAAATTCAATATATATATATATATATATATATATATATATATATATATATATATAATTATTGGGTAATCCAACTTTAAGTTAAGTCTCACATTTACTAAGAATAAAAAAATTAAACAATATAAGTAAGTATGACTCATAACTTAATGTGTTAAGATTTTGAGTTCAGGATAATGTGAATTCTTACATACATTAAATTTTGAGAATCTTTCTTATGCATATTTAGATTACTCAACAAAATATATATATATATATATATATATATATATATATATATAAATGAAACTAATTTATAAAAATTAATTAGCATATAAAAATAAATATATTCATCAACATGTTCAACATTCTTACTAGAATTTTAAATTAAAAAAAAATATTTTATTATTTATCATCTCTTTTTAAAAAAATTATTTGATTTTTTTAGATATTTTTAAAATTTAACTTAAACTTTTGTTTAACATTTTAACTTCAAAATATAATATCATAAAATATTAATGTAATTAAATAATTTATAACAAATAATATTTCATAATTTTATACTATATTACATGCTAAAAAAATAAAAATTTGTTTATTATTATTTTTTACTTACAGAAAATTTCTATGAGATATCTTTATTTTTTAACTCTTACCATGTCTTCAATGTGAATAAAAGAAAAAAATTACAATTTTTATGTTATAAAGATAAAACTATAAAAAAGGAAAAAAATTGAAAATTAAAAAGAAAATTTTATTATTTATCACTTTTTTTTAAATATTTATTTTTTTAGACATTTTTAAAATTTAACTTGATTTTTTTTTTACATTTTAACTTCAAAATATAATATCATAAAATATTAAAGTAATTAAATAATTTATAAAAAATAATAATTCATATTTTTATTATATATTACATGCTAAAAAAAATAAAAATTTGTTTATTATTTTTTTTACTTATAGAAAATTATTATGAGATATCTTTATTTTTTAATTTCTTACCTTATGTCTTCAATGTGAATAAAAGAAAAAAAAATTATAATTTTTATGTTATAAAGAAAAAAATTATAAAAAAGAAAAAAATTTTAAATTTAAAAAGAAAAATTTACAAATTTTGTGCTGGAAGATAAAACTGTGAAATAGAAGGAAGGTGAAACTCTGAAATAAAAGAATATGTAAGTATATGAGTGATAAAACAAAAAAATAAAAGCATGAAAAGACAAAGTGAGTAATAAAAATTAAAGTAAAAAAAATGAAAAAGAGAAAAGATAAAAAAAAAATTTAATTATATTTATAAAATAATTTTATTAATTTTAAAAAATAATTATTACATATAAAAAAATTAAATTTTTGGTTGGAGCTACAGCTCGGCTATATATATATATATATATATATATATATATATATATATATATATGTTAGTATGCGGATTTACGGGATCAGCCGAGCTGTATATATATATATATATATATATATATTACTCTTTTTGTAATGAAGTATTTTTTTTTAATTTACCTTTCTTTTTGACAGTTGTTGAACGGGGCATTTGTTCTCTTGCCTTTCATCAGATAAAGGTGTCACTGAAGATTAAAGCAATGTTAGATGCAACAAAATAACATACATCCTTTGCATCTAAAATTTATCTAAGTAATAAAAAGTACTCATACATATTTTTCTATATATGATGAGTTATTGTACCACTAATCTTTCTTTCATTGGGGAGATTTTCTGTATTTATATACATGAATTTTTCATAAATAGAATAAGAAAATAACTTTTTTTCATTCTGTACCTATATCATATTTATCTCTAGATCAATCTTTTATAAATAGAATAATAAAATAGAAATAATTTGTGATGATAAAATTATATTTAATAAAATAAATAAGTTTTTTTTAAGCGAGATCCACTTTGATTTATAATCATTTAAACAATTATTCCTACATTCTATTTAAGTGAATATTACTTCAATGAAGTGGGAATGACTTAAGCAAATTAATAGTTATTCAGCCGACAATAACTTTAATCCAATATTTCTATATTTAAGCGATAGTCCTTGTAATAGAGAGTAATTTAAGTGAAATTCGTCTAACCCAGGAGTATCACGTTTGCTTAAACATGCTGCAAAGCAAAGCATTTTTACTTAAGAGAGTTTCGCTTAAGTCATTATTTTTATGTTTAAATGATGTAAATAGAAAATCAATATAATTTATATTTTTATTTATAATTATAGATAAAATAGTATGAGGGGTAAAAAAAATGATGCATGCTAAAATAATATAATCCAATAATAACACTAAACAAATTATTCTATTAATGTCTTAATATAAAAATAATAAATTAAAAGGAGAAAAATAAAATGAGAAGAAAATTAAATTTTACTAATTATGATTATTTTTTCAGATAATAAATATTTTTATTAATTAGAATTAAAAAAATATTTTAATTATTTATCTCGTTATAAAAATTAATCATTTTAGATGTTCTTGAAATTTGATTATCTTAAAATTATAATCTATAATGATCATTTCAAATATGATTTTATCATGATAAAATATTTATTAATTTAAATATTTAATCTTTGAAATTTAAAAAACATTTCACTGTAATAAGAATTACTTGTACTTTTAATTTAATTAATATTTAAATTATAAAAAATAATCACTTTAAATATATTTTTAATTTAGTTATTATATAGTGTTTAATTTTTAAAATTATTTTAGACGCATGTTTAATTTAATTATTAAAAATTTATAACAAAACAAATAAAAAATAATTTATTTAAAAATATTTTTCTACCAAATAACTACATCACTCTGGTATTTCATTCCATGTAGAATACGTTGGAGCATATAAATAATTTTTATTAGGTCAAAAGAATATTAAAAATATATTATTTTTAATAGCAATATTTATTTTAAAAATTTTATAGATATGATGTTTGGTCAAGAGAGTCCTCTGAATATTATGATTTTATATTGGTAATTATTTTCACTTTTAATAAAAAAGAGATGATAGGCTAATTAAAAAAAAATGGGAAATTTTTCACAAGTAATTGAACTTGAGAGCCAAGTCAATGGAAAATTCACAAGTAATAAGACATTATTTTAGTTAATTTTTATGGATAAAATAAATACTTTTATAAAGGTATTTAATTTTTTTATATTTAAATAAAAATATTAAAATGAGTGTTGTAGGATGATGATACATTTCCTACGTATAATCGACTATCAAATTCAATTTTTTTTTGCAGACCACTTTTTTTTCTTTTAAAAGTTTTTGTCCAATATTTTTTGGAAAATAAATATTGGGAGCGACTTCATTTCTATTCTTTCATTTTAAATTTATATTTTGGTAGCCACTTGTTAAATGGTAAAAGTTGATGTAATTATACTCTTAATTGTGATATAACCACTTAAATTATAGTGATTCTAATATATTTTTCTCCCAATGTAGGATAAATTTGCATAATACTTGGATATAAGAGCAAAGATCATAATTGTGAAGTAATTGAAAGAAAGAAGAACGTTTGAGTGAATGAATGATGCGAGGCCCGACCCAAATTTTCCTATAAAAAGATAGGACGCGTTTTGAGATGTAATTTTAGGTTTTTAGAGAAGAGGCGCGACTGTTGTTCTGTTCTCCAAGGATTCTTCAATTCTTTCTCATTTAGAGCATTGTAATGGCCACCATGAGTGACTAACTTCATTATCTTAGGATTGGGTGCACTTCCTTGGAACTCTTTTGTATCATGGTGATATTTTGAGATATTAATCTATGTTTGATGTTGTTATTCTTATCTTTTGTGTTTTGGAATGATTTATTCTTGATGTTTGGGATATGATTGGAAAATATATCTTGAAACCCTAGATCAGGTAAGAATATTTGCTACGTTAATTGTCAGGAATGGAATGAATATATAAAGTGCTTAACACCCTAAACCTAATGCTGGGAAATCTTTTAATTGTGTGAGAAATCGACATTTATCAGGTTTTCTTATGAATTTCACATGCGAGGAATCAAAATGAATGATTTGAGTAGGTAACATCAACATTGTTAGGTTAATTGATTTTCTTAATTTGACCTAGCCATTATGCAAAAGAGGGAAAAGGAAGGAAGTCAATCCTAAGTTCTTTAATTTAATCTTTTCTAAATATCATTTATCGTTCTTTACCATTTAATTTCAATCCAAATCTTTATGAAAACCCAATTTTGTTTCAATATACTTAGTAAGCATATGATTTGGAATTTCCATTGAAACCGTTCTTCATGGAATCAACTTTTATTTAATCGAAATACTATACTGCGATTAATAATATTGGTGCGCTTGCCAATTATTCAACACCCCTTCATAATCTTAGTTGCAATAGATGACAACTTCACTGGGGAATCTAAGTCAAGTATATCATAATTAGATGTGGAAAGCTAAAAATATTTTTTCTAGCTTTATTTGTGTATTTTATATGATTATATCTTATTTATTTCTACTTCTCTTATTCAATTTAAATATCTTTGCTTTAATAAAATCTTAGGATACAAGATATGTTCCTATTGTTTATCTTTTATTTGTTTTGTAAGTGGTAATTTAGGATTAACCTCTTCACACACTACACTCACATTTTTCACACTAAGGTCTTATACCCAGATTTTGTTAGAAATGTAGGCTGAGATCAAGAGGAGGGGGGAGTGAATTGATCTTTGAAAGATTTTCGCAATTTACAGATTATCTATTTCAAAGATTAAGAATTCAGACCAGTTCTTGAATCAAACACAGCAAGCAATCAAAATTATGCTACAGACAAAATTAAAAGAGAGAAAGGTTTAGAAAGATACAACCAAGATTTATACTGGTTCACCCAATCCTAGGGCTACGTCCGGTTTCAGCCAAATTCAGTGGGTTCCACTAGATTGAGCGTTTCTGATTACAACTTTAATCCCACACTCAATCTACCACAAGAACCAAAATTCCAGTTCTTGCACCTAAACCTTCACCAAGAGCCAAATTCCAGTTATTGACCAACCTCTGACCAAATTCCAGCTACGAAACCAGGTGCCCACAATTCCAGGCACCCACAATACTGATAAAGAAAGTAAATAAACAAAGAGAAGAAACTAGAACACCCAAACCAGGTTTATGCAGCTCTGCAGAAAGAGTTTCTTTTCCAAAAGAATGCAAATATTGCCTCAAGAAAGAACTTCTATGAACTTCACAAACTTAGCGCGATTCTCTCTTGAAAGTAGTACTTATGATTGCTTGATTGATTACCAAAAGATGTATATGAAAATGTTCAAGCAATTCTGTTTATATAGAAGATTTTCAAAATTGTTGGTTTATTTAATCTGTTAAAATAATCTTTTAATCTGTTAAAAGTCTAGTTTTAATCTGTTAAAACTTCTTTTAATCTGTTAAAATGTTCTTGATTATTTTCCAGATTTGTTTTAACTGATACGACAACGTTTATATCAATTAAAACTCTTTGTAAAAAATCTTCTAAGATGTTTTAATCGATTGTTTCGTCTTTCAATCGATTAAAATACTGCAAAACATTCTTATAAACTTTTCTAAGTGATTTTAACTGATAACAATCTGTTTTAATCGATTAAAACCTTTAGAAAAAATTCACTTAGTTATTTTAATCGATTGAAACGCATTTTAATCGATTATAATTCTGCCAAAAGATTTCATAAAACTTTCTAAGTTATTTTAACTGATAGCAAGCTTGTTTTAATCGATTTAAAACATTATGGAAAAACCTCTTAGTTGTTTTAATCGATTATTTCACATTTGTATCGATTAAAATACTGACAGAACAACTTTCAAAACATTTCAAGTTATTTCAATCAATTATTTCGAGTTTGTATCGATTAAAATTCTGTCAGAACACTTTTCAAAATAGTCTAAGTCATTTTAATCGATTATATCAATTCTATATCAGTTAAAATACTGGCAGAAGGTTTTCAAAAATCCTTCTTGTCGCCACCGTCAAAACGAGGCGGTCAGAGCGACGCGATGGTTCCGACTTTCCAATTTTCGCGTTTTTATTGGTATGGTTACAACGCCTTTAGGTTGTCTGATAACCGGGCTGAACCTAGAGGTGAGGTTTTCGAAAGGGCGCTCTTGGGTTGTCCGATAACCGGGCTAACCCAAGAGCTAATTTTTGAAGGGTTCATTTGGAGTCGCCACCGATGTTTTTACCAGAAACATCGAAAAAGGAGTGAAAAGGCGTTGGTTTTCGAAAAACCAACTTTGGTCATTAGAACCAGAGTTGGGTAAGAGAGTTAGTTACGCATAAAGGAAGTGTTAGTTCCTTTACGACGCCCCTTTCGGGTTCCCTATGATAGGCCAGCTATTTAAAAATAATTAAACCGATGAAAATACGCTTTTACCCTTTTATTTGCGGAATTTTAAACTATGGCTGAAGAACTTGTTGGATTTGATGAAGACATATAGAGTTTATAGAGTTTATTTTGTGGGTGTGTAGATAGATAGGTTATAGGTTTAGAATTTAATCTCTTGATAGTTCAATAGATCTTGTGATAAGCGCCTTTAAATGATGCATCTCATTGAACTT